TTTTCCTTTCGTCGTCGTGCCTTGTCAATGTTCATGTATCAAAATCTGGTGCAATTTAGGATTTGATTTAGATGAACGTTTTAGAAATCACTTGTCAATGTTCATGTATCAAAATCTGGTGCAATTTAGGATTTGATTTAGATGAACGTTTTAGAAATCATCTGAAAGTGCATAAAGAGTAACATGTGGTGCAATTTAGGATTTGATTTAGATGAACGTTTTAGAAATCATCTGAAAGTGCATAAAGAGTAACATGTCTAGTTATGGATTAAAAAAAACCAATAAAACCTTACTTATTGCTGACCTAATTCGTTGTGTTCAGGTTTTATAGCCAAAATTATCAGCATGCAGGTCCAACTAAGTTTGGTGTAGTCCGTGTTGTACTGGCATATAATTAGTACTTCAGTATTTCTACTTCTCGTTGTGCGTTGTTATGAAAAATAGGATTTTCATATCTCCTTCGTAAGCTATATTGTTATTTTGACATACAGGTGACGTTAAGGATTTGGAATACGCTAGTAATACGCTTAAAATAGAACTGAAACCGTTAACGTCAGTATGACTAAGGATATTGCACCTTCTTCGCATATGCTTATCGTCTTTTTTTTCACTTTTCTTTTCTTTTTCCCCCCTTTTTTTCTGGCGAACATCTATGCGCGTCGTTTCTGGTGATGTTTCCTCTACAAACATGTTGATGCATGCATCTTTATTTCGCTTAAGACCCATAGTTGCTAAAATGCTTCATTCTGTTCGATATTTTCGCGTGTCTGTTCTTGAATCTTGTTGATTTTTTTGCATGCATGGTGTGGCTTGGACGGTCTCTTTATGACTGTCATATATATGAAGCTATTGTGGGTTTAAGAGGCCTGCAGGATCACCTGCGCAGGGTTAACTTAGAAGCTGCTGGCTCTCTGAACGGGCAGCAAGCGTCTATTTTCTTGTTTTTGCCATAATGACTCGTGATTCTCCTTGATGCTTGCCAGGTATGAATCCTTCGTCACCTACAGTCATGTTAGCATTCATTAGCAAGTTTACCATGTAAAGCGCGCATCACGTGCAAGGGAGAACTAGCATGCATGTCATAGAAACAAGGAGTAATTGCAGCCACACCTTGTCTAAGAGTGTGCCTGGCAATCTTCTCAAAATTGGGTTATGACCGAACCTGGCCCAGTTTTGAGAATAACTAGTTCTTATTTGATCTAAACCTCTATATGTATCAAAAAAGAATCGGTTTAGTGAATGGTTTTTTAGGGTGTATTTGGCTAACTCCACAAAACTTATTTTAGACGGTACAATATTGGTCCAAAATCTTATTTTTAGTTTGACGAAAATTGGACCCAAATTGAACCAGTTGTTTTCAGTTCAGAATCTTACCCATAAACTAGTTCTTTTGTGAACCAACTCTTATATGTTTAACTTTGGTCTAGTTAAGAAAAACTAGTCTAGCTTAGTTCAATTTTAAAGTTGAGAAATACACCAGGGTGGTGTGTTTGGCAACCTTGTAAAATTAGATCAGGACTGAACCTAGCTCAACTTTAAGTTGTTTCTTGTTTGGCAAATTCCCCAGCTAGAGCTGACCCAATATTTTAGCCAAAAATTGGCCACTAAACTAGTTTTCTTTTAGACTTGGAGGCCAGTAAAAAAAACTAGTTTAGCACAAAACCGGGCCAGGACTAGTCCTAGCCCAGTTTCGTGTAGTTTGCCAAACACACCTGGGTCAGTTTGGCAACTAAAAAACTAGCCTAGATTAGTTTTGGACTAGCTACATTTAAGTAGATTAGAATAGAGTAATTTTTATGTGAATCAGTTATGAGTTTAATCTAGTTTGAATACTTTTTAAAAAAAATAATCTAATGCTAGTTATCACCTTTCTTTTTCATTTCCTAATGCTTTTTTAAGGCCAAAGCAAACTAGTTCTATTTCAAACAAGGGGGACTTGGGTTGAAATAGAACTAGTTATCATACAAATTTGGACCAATCGAAAACTAGTTTTCCCTAACTTAATTTTTACTTCCCAAACTAATGCTAAACTATTTGGCCAAACTTATAACTACGTACTAAAACTATTTTTTTCAGAGTTGCTAAACACACCCTTAGTTTATGTAAAGCTAGGCCAGTTTTAAGTTAGCTTTACCGAAATAAAATTTCTCTCAAAATAGGACCAGGTTCAAACCTAACCCCATGTTTTAAGGTTGCCAAACTGGCCTAGAAGTGTTTTGACTTTAATTTGAAATAAATCATATCCTAAGGGCTTGTTTGGTAAAAACATGTACAAGATTGGACTGGGTTTTTTTTAGTTAAAAAAAAGCCTTTACCTAGGTTATTTTTGAACTACTTCCACTTAATTTGGTTCAATACTAACCCAGCTAAGATCTTAACCAGATTAGTATGAAGTTGCCAACCACACATTTTAATATATGTTATTAAAATATTATATAATATTATAATAAATATGTTGTAATATTATATAATATAGTATGTGATATTGCATAATAATATATAATAAATATCATAAAATAAATTATACAGATAAATTAAACAATAATAATATTTTATTTTATTACATGATGATATAATATAATATATTGAATATATTATTACTTTATACTTTATATATCATGGCATATATTTATAATTTAATTAGCATGTATTAGTTTAAGTAATACAAAAAGGTTTGAAAATCATCCCAATTGCCTTCAAAGTGGAACAAAATTGTTCCAACATGGAGGATGGGATGAATTTTTACTATTGGGACAACGTTTTTGTATATGAGTGGGGGTAATTTTATCCCGGGTGGCGAAACTGTCTCACTAGTAGTGTTCCAAAAAATCAATAACACGAAAAGGTATTATCATTGTTCCAAGGCATCCGCGTAATCTTTTTGCTCTATGAAGATTAGGGCAAAGTATCACATGACTCCCCATAGCATATCAATGCAACCTGAAATGTGAAGACATCGTTTGGGATGTTAATGATCAGTAACATAAGTGGTTGTACCCTCGCAGCTCAAAAGGTGTATATGCAATTAATTAATTACCACAGAAATAATATAATGGATAGAAAAGAGTTAAGGCTAGTTAGGTGTGGCTCATGGTCTCATTATAATTATGGGGATCACCATTTCCAAAGTGCCCCCTCAGAACCCAAAGAGGATCCGGATCGATCTGGTGAAAAAAGGAAATGCGGTGGAGTGTACATCTATGTATGATCATAACTCTTTTGAATTTCTCTGAAAGCTGCTCCACTTACTAATGATTAGATTAGATCAAGCCTGTCAGGGTTTAGTTGGCTTTCATCTGAGGTTTATCGCAGTGCGAATCATGATTAAGGGGCTTCAGTAAGAATATTTTTACCTCAAAAAATATTTTTAGATCGTTTTTGGTAAACCACGCGATCGCTGTAGTAACGAAGAAATTAATGGTCTAGCTAGACCCGCCAGCTACAGTAATACTACAAAACAGAGCTTTTTGCTGGGAATTAGGGCATGTTTGCTTGCACGGAAGTAATTATGAGCTAGCTGAAATGAAAGAAACAGAGGCTACTTCGGCTGCTTACGAGAAAAAAAAAACATATTTGTTCCTCTGAAAAACCTGTTTTTAATACTTACTTAAACGCTGATGTGATGCTTTCGTGTCTTCTCTACTTCTTAAATATTTTTCCACCCCTCAAGACTTGGAAGCACCTAGGAAGTAAGTGAAATTTGCATTAATTAGGAAATAAATAATTTTCTTATTAATATTTCCTTTATTAGCTACTTCCTAACAACTTTTCATTGCTATCCAAATAAAAAGAAAGAAAATGAAGAAAAGAAGTACTATGTCCACTATTTCAAAGAATATGTGAAACAAACAAAAAAATATATTACTTCCGCTACTTCCTACTTCATAAATTTAAAAGATACTTGTTTGATCTTTTTCCTACTTCCGATACTTCAGGTTTTTGGCTGCCACATCAGCGCCTTATTTGTCGGAACAAACAAAGTAAAAGCTACGATGTTGTTATAGCCTGACGATTACAGTAGCTTTCAAGCAAAAATAAAAACCCCTCAACCAAACAGACTCTAGGAACGTTGTAATGAGAAGTACGGGAGGTATTTATTATGGGCTTTTTTAAGTTTACCCCCACTAGTTGATCACTTCCTTTCTTAAGAGAGAGAAGAAGATCATCATTCATGCCATTGAAAGAGCAACGGGGGCTGTACACGCACTGACGCCTAAAAATGACTCTTGACCGAGATACACGGGCTTTGGTTAATCCGTATCTGGCTGAACGGACCAACTGCGCCCGATTCTTATCCTGTGAACTCATAAAAGTGGGCCCAACAGTGCTGTACGTGTCAGTGACAGTATGTGGTCCCAGTTGGTATTGGGCAGATGATCGATATTGATAACGTAATGACCAACAAATTAATATTGAACGATTACAATTTCATAATCGAGACAAAGTCCTTTATCTCAATCGTGTAATTATAGAGCATTTAGGATACTAAAACCTCAGTTTTAATTATTTCCGAGGATAAATTTTCAAAACAGTCCTCTTTGGACTTTTAATCCCAAAAAAGACCTATTTCCAACTTATTTTCAGAAACCGACCTGATTTCAGCCTCAGCGCTAAAACCAGGTCGGTTTCTGAAAAAAAAATCGAAATTTAAAACTTACTAAACTTCACGGGAGTTCAACTTTTTTTTCTCCAGAAACCGACCTGATTTCAACGCTGAGACTAAAATCAAATCGGTTTATGAAAATAAGTTGGAAATGAGTCTGTTTTACGATTATTATTGTAAACGGGGTTGTTTTGAAAATTTGTGCTTATTTCCAACGAGTGGATGCGACGAGAACTTTACACCTACAACCTGAACAGAATGTACCGAACATCAAAGTTGGTGGGTCAAGCCCGAAAGAAATAATCCATGGGCCCATGAGTTCGGAATATAGTACATGATCCTGCCGTGGCTCAAAAGACAAACCATTGAATGGCAATCTTGCAATAACTATTGCAAAATGCGTCAGATGGTACATTACAAAGGTTTTTACATATAAAACCCCCCAAATAAACCATATTTGTGAATGCACCCTTAACTCTAACACATTCGTTAAAAAGGTTTTTACAAGAAAAACCTCTTTAACTTTTGCTCAAATTACAACTTACCATCTTAATTTTTTTTTTGGGGATTTGGATCCTCTCCACTACAAAAAAGTAGTGGAGACCACTACTTTTAATCTTAATCGTTGATTACTTAGTATGCGGTTATGATGTAATCTAAATCTAATACTCACTATACCCCCGTGTATTGCACTCATTCCTAATTTGCACTCAAAGAAAAAATCACAACCACCAACTAGATAATCAATGGTTGTGATTATGTAGTGGTCCATCCACTACCTTTTAGATAGTGGAGAAGATCTGAACCCTTTTTTTTAAATCAAAACTAGCTACATTTGCTAACATATTCTCAATGTCATGAATTTTAGTATTTTCTGTTAACTATTATACTCTCCAATCTAGCGCAAGAGGGGGGAAGAAGAGGAGGAGAGGAAGGAAGTGAGGGAGGTGAGAGTGGAGGAGGATGGGAGAGTGAGAGGGAGAGGGCTGTTGGTAGAGGGGGAGGAATGGAGGAACGGAGTTCGGGTTTACAGAAACCATAGAGATGATGGAGGAGGACGGGGAGGTGAGAGAGAAGAGGGGAGGGAGGAGTGGCAAGAGGGAGAGGAGAGGGAAGCGTTAGGGTTTGGAGAAATCTTAGAGGTGGAGGAGATGATGAAAGAGGTAGGGGAGGACGGGAAGGAGGAGAGGGGAGGCATGCAAGGGGGGAGGTGGAGAGAGGAGAGGAGTGAAATGAGCACGTTTTTAGTTGAATAGTGAAATGCGTGGCATTGAGAACATGTTAGCAAATGTAGGCGATTTTGATAAAAATAAAAAATAAAAAACTAAGATGATAAGTTATAATTTGCAGAAAATTTAAGATGGTTTTTATATAAAAACCCTAGTTAAAATACCCAAAAGACATGCTTCTTAGGAGACCCCCCCCTAAAATTCCCCCCCTCCAACGTTGAAAAATTAACCTCATTGCGGTAGAATTGGGTGTAAATTAGCAAATAACTCAGTTTGGGTGGTAAATTTGTATATGATTTCTCTGGGGATATATATATATATGTACATGTGAAAAACTGTACCTAGTAAGAATAACTTCATAAATCCTGCCACCTTTTCTCATCAAAATCCCACCAACAATATCACCCTCTTCTTTACTCCGCTCCTCTTATAACCCCTTGGTTCAAATCTCTCTTTATTTCCCAGCTACAATTCTCAACTCTCTCTCTCTCTCTCTCTCTCATGGC